TCCTGTCCCAGGTGTTGAAGGTCTTCTCCCGCCTTGTCCTCAACAGAATACGCCGTTGCATCGACGAATACATGAGTGTAGAACAAGCCGGGTTCCGTTCATGCTTCTCCACTATTGACCATATTCATGTAATATCACAGCTGACGGAACGTTGCCGCGAGTACCGCACCCCACTGTGTCTTCTGTTTATCGATTTCAAAAAGGCCTTCGACACAGTGGAGCATGAGAGTGTATACAACGCCATGCGCGAGTGCGGTATCCCCGAGCCCTATATTGAATCACGCGGCAGTGCAGCCACGGAAAAGAATAGTAAAACAAATATTTGACATTTATTTCCAAAATATGGGCTGAAAGGTCCTACGCGGTCGACGGACTACAGCCCACATATAGCCCATTAATGTCAAATATTTGTTTTACTCCCTTTCCGTTGCATTCGATAAGGTTTCTTCTGCATCATACAGTAAAATTTTCTTTCAATTTGCTTGATAACTTAATGACGTTCGTGGAAATTTCCTGAACTCCCACGCAGCCGAAAAAACGTGAAACGTGCGCGGTATCCGAACCTATTAGAATCACGCGGCAGTGCAACACGGACTGTTATACCGATATCAAACTCATAAAAACACCGGTCCGTGTTCAAATCCGGCGCGGCGTCAGACAAGGCGAGGTTACGTCCCCGAACTTGTTCGCTATTGCGCTCGAGAACATCATGAGGCGAATCTCGTTGCCCGGAGGAGTGAACATCGACGGCGTTCGCTTAACGCATCTCCTCTTCGCTGATGACTGTGTTCTGATAGGCGAGGACCCCGCCGACATTGCGCAATCCCTGAGCCTCATCAGGCAGGAAGCCGGCAAAATCGGACTACAAATTCATCCCGGCAAGACTCAGTGGATGCACAACGAACAAGTTCAGTACCAGCCGATCCTCCTAGAAGGCCAGGAGATCGAGCGAGTCTCCTCTTACGTATATCTCGGTAAAGCGGTCAACATGAATAACGATCTCACGCTCGAGATTAGCCGACGCCGCAGAGCGGGCTGGACCGCGTTCAATAAACTTCGAGATGTACTAACTTCTAAGCACGTCGACCCCGGGTCAAAGCTCACGTCTTCAACTCGCATGTTTTTCCCGCTACGGCGTACGTGGAGGAGAGGAGCACCACAGTTTTCAAAGACGGTGAAACTCACAGTTACACAGCGAGAAATGGAGAGGGCCATGTGCGGTGTAACGCTCCGAGACCGCATACCCAATGACACCATCCGCGCTCGTACGATGGTGAAGGACGTCGTCGATGCCATCTATAATTCCAAGCGGAGGTGGGCCGGTCATGTGGCTAGACTTACCGATGATCGCTGGACGAAGAGAGTGACTGACTGGTACCCAAGGGGAAAACAAGGCCCAGAGGCAGACCCCCCACCCGATGGGCAGACCCTCTCGTAAAATTGTACGGCCAGCTGTGGCGCAGAAGAGCCCGAAGCAGAGCGGCCTGGAAGATGTGCGACCTGCGTTTCTGGCGTGCCCGGGACGAATAGCGGTCGAGAAGTAAGAAGTAAGTAAGTTCAAGACCGGCATTTCCTTCTTTTTCCGAGACCCTTTTCAGTCTCGGCAGACAGACATACCTGGCACTTTCCTAAAAGAATTTTTCCTCTGGAACTCCACGTTTTTGGCGTTTTTTTTACCCACCATGCTAGTGTTTTTCCTACTCTCTATTCGCACTTGTGTTTGCTGAACTCACATAAAAAGGGCTCAGTCAATGAGATTGAAGATAGCACTCTAGAAGAACCTTTCTCGAAAAATGGCGCGAAGAAACCAATCAATGCCACATGGTGATTTTATGACTTTCCGTCAAATTTTTTCGTTGCAATGCTTTGGGTCCACATTCGACGATTATAGCATTGCAATAAAGAAGTACACGGCTGGATTGCTAGACATCCAAACTTAGAGTTTTTAAGCAATGATACATCACTGAATGATTTCTTCTAACTTTTACCTAATTTCTCGTCTGCTGGAGTTCCTCCTCCGCAACCATGTAATCTAGTCAGCTGAAATTTATATGTAGTAGGAAACTCGATATGTTTTGTAGAGCAGATGATCCTGCTTCCAATGGCACTATATCATTACGAAAGTATGTGTTCTTAGAGGAGAATTACCACTCGAAAAAAAGTTAAATCGTGCAACCTTATTTGCATGGACGACGTCCGTGGTGTTCCTGGCGCACTTTAAATGAGTGGATGCCCGCCCACAATGAGCAAGATTCTGACGTGAGTGTAAGTAGTCAGTATTTTCTATAAAATCTCATACGGTTCCGACACTAAATGGAGAACAATTAAACGTGGAGAATGCTTGGCTAAGATATTATGCTGTTTGATAGTGGTGGGTAGGGCGTGCGGCGAAGTGTGGCGGGTTTCTACCGGGAACACAGCAAACAGAGACCGGCGTGAGTAAGGTTCAAGTTCTCTTGTGTTAAGATTATGCACCTGGTGAAGTCTTAACTGGTTCATCTGTTATGCATTGCTACCGCCCGTGTGTGCGGAGTCAAGTTGGTACAACACATAATCAATCTCCTTGTCTGAGATAAAATGAAGCTCAGAGAATCAATCTCTTCTTGTGTTGGATGTAGACGTACAATATTATTCAAGAATAAGAAAACAATTTTAGAATTGTTTTGCGCCGAAGTTTCATGCTGAATGCGTATTAAACAATGTGAGACGTCAATTATCCATTGCGAAATACTCTGAAGCTTTTCCAGAAGAAATTGCAAAAATATGTAACCGCAAAAACTTCGTAGAAAGTCTCTCGCAATAAATAATTCGAAGTTTAACATTGTTAATTGCACGTTATGTAAAGTTGTTTTCATTCTTTGCACGCCCGATGAGCACTATTAAGTGAAGAGCGAGCGGTAACCACTCAAAAGCCGAATTCCCTTCTCACTGTCAGTGCAGACTTTCCATGATGGAACCAGATGAGGTGGAAAATTTGCATAAAGAGGGGAATCCGAATGAAGGCCAACATACCAGGACAAACCAGATGGGCTTTAGCATCAATCCCATATCTGCTTTGCGCTGTCACTCAATTGAGCAGTCTCTAGGAGCTCCCATAGAATTTTTCTTTTGCCCTTAGAAATTTGAACAGTGAGCATCCTGAAACTGCTGTGTCAATCACGCCACGATCTTTACAGCACTCCAATTCTATATTCATTTTCTGTATGGAAAAGCTGATAAAGTCGGCAGAACAGCGATAAAACAATTTATAATGCCCTCTAAAATATACAATGATATAGAGACTATTCAGATTTCTTTTTCGACTGCTCTTCCTCAACATATTTGTACGCGTAACGAGCATCCTTTATCATCATATCAGCGATTCCTGAGCTTAGCACCTGAAGATGAAACATTCTCACATCATTGGTTTCCGAACACATTCAGACCTTGTAGAGTTCTTACAGCTTTCGGTGTTATCTTGTCCTTCAAAGTCCACTGATACCAAATATTCTATACTACACTTTCGACGGATCATTTGCTAATGGACTAAATTTGCCGGCAACCACGTTTGCCCATCCACTGTAAATAAATAATTTACTGGTGGTACTGTGTTCCATAAAACACCTATACGTACCGCTTTTTCTTTGGTGCTATCGGAACGTCGCTTTCGAAAGCTGGTGGCCGCCACGACATAGGAGTCGCCTACCTGCAATATGCCTCATGAGATTTACCTCTCACAATTTTTTCCTGATGGCTGCACCACACAAGCAGGTTTACAAAATGATAGCTATGGGTTTGAATACCATCAGTGCGGGATTTCGAAGGGACAGCTAGAGGAAGGACAGAAATGACCATCCATATGTACTTTTCTATCGCTTTCGGATGATACCGCATGATACTTATGTGTCCCGAATATCCAAATGAGAGAGAGCTGTACATCATATACAATGATGTATGATAGTTGGGGTTGGGGTGGGGATATGGGGGGGTGGGTGTTCAAGAGAGCTTATTCAAAAATATGACTAATGTAAGATCGTAACTAACACTCCTTTCTCACAAAGGTTTAGAAGAAGTGTTACACCCCACCCTTTTTGCAGATCGGATTGGCTCTAGAGCTCCTCCCCCTCCGAAAGATACCTTGTCTTGTCCGAGCTAGGTTCCACTAAATTCCCCTCCCCATGAATGTCGCGAACCCTGAGCTCTGCGGAATTAACAATTACACTTCACCAAGTTCTCTGGAGACGGCTGCTTCGCTTAGCAAATCCATTCTACCGCGGCAAAAAGTTGACAAACGACCAACTTCTCAGAATAGCCTCATAAGGGCCACTTGATGGAATCCTAGTAGTTTTATGCACTGTTTGGCGCACTATTGCGAATCACCTTCACAGCTTCTCACTACAATTATGACCTATAATACTTGCAAAGAGATCCGAATCGAAAAGAATTGTTTTGAATTCAATTCCAATGGGAATGCACAAGAAACACCACAAACTCAGCTCTCTCCGTGGCTGTCCTTTTTTTAATGACATAATTTCAAATTTTCCAGAGGCCAATTTTGTAATTACATAAGTTTCAAGTGATTTACCTTCCTCCACATTCGACATACAACGAAGTCACGGCCTTTAACAACAATCAGGTCGGATGTTGTGTACTAAACAATTATTATAATCGAATGAACTACTACCAAACAGAGTCGTTTGACTCTCTAACATAACTTATAGGAAAGTTGCCTCCAAAATATTGTATTAAATAAGACGCTCACATGAATAATATCAGCGTATTCACTGATCGTATCAACGCGTTCCACACTTTGCACATTGCTATTCCATTCTGGTGTTTTCTCTATCTGAAAACACAAACAAAGATGGTATTAGCCGACAGAGGTCCAGCACTGTGATGATAGTGAGGTAGCAGTGTCCAAGCGTAGCTATCCCGGTTCTGTAGCACTGCGTATTGAAGGTTGCCGGATGACGAGGTAGTACACTGAGCATGTAGGCAGTTGCCCAAATCAGGATGAGGTATGTGTGAACGGAATTTCGGTGAAGTTCGGGCTCAAACCCACTTGATGAGCCTTTACGGTGGCTAGAAGCGCTAGGTACGCAAGTGTAGAGGTCGCGTCA